GCCCCGATTGGGTGGGCCCCACATCACCTCCTCTCAACCCAGCTCTGCAGGTGACAGGTGAGTCCTGGGGGCTGGGGGGAGTGAGTGACGGGGGGGGGAGGTGGAGCAGGGGCAGGGCCTCAGAGAAGGGGTGGGGCAGAGGTGTTCGGTTTTCAGGGATTAGAACATTAAGAACCCTACGCAGGGGTTGTACACATGCCTGGGGACTCCTGGGTCTGGCTGAGCCCCCCTCCCTCCCCCCCCGTCTATAGGACCCAGCAGAGGCGCTCGGGGTGTGAAAGACCCACCTCTTGCCTCTGGTCTGGTATCTCTGCTCCCCCAGTGGCTAGGCAGAGTGCAGCTTCCACCAGGGGCCTCCCCTTCTCAGTGGGTCTGGCTCCCAGACGACCTGGCCGAGCAAGTCACCACAACGTTCCCCTAGTGGGCATCGGGGGATGCCCCCCGCTGGGCCCAGCTATGCTCCCTGATCTCCCCTGCACGATCTCCCCTGCTTCTGAAGACCTTGCTTCACCCTCTTCCGGCCACCTGGGTCTTGTGCCCTGCCAGCAGACTGGGCTGTGATGGGCTCCCCAGAACGGCTGCTCTACAGGGCTGAGAGGAGACCAGGCGGGCGGCACTCGGGAGGGGCGTCCAGTGTCAAACACACATTGCTGGGATGAGAGGCTTGTGATCTCTGCAAGGCCCAGCCACGCTCTGGGGGCAAAGAGCCAAGGCCAATAGGACAGTGGGCGACGGGCCAGGGTTGAGGGGTTGTATGTGATGCCAGCTCAGCTTGGCCCCGGGGCCGGGAGAAAGGAAGCAATGGCCCAGCTCGCCCAAGAACGGACCCAGGCCTGGCAGGTGCTCGGCTCCAGTGAGTCTACGCAGAACAGGCCAAGAGCAGGGCCCACTGGCCACCCCTCCAGCCTCCCCAGCGGCCTGGGGACCCGTGAGCCCTTCAACTCACTAAGGGATGGACTAAGTGAGCTTTCCCTTCCCGCCACAGGGGATAGGTCTCGGCTCCCGGCTTCAGCCACCCGGGGTCACCGGCCCTGGGGTTACCGGCCCCAGAGTTACCAGCCACCCGGGGTTACCAGCCACCCGGGGTTACCAGTCACCCGGGGTTACCGGCCCTGGGGTTACCGGCTCTGGAGTTACCAGCCACCTGGGGTTACCGGCCCTGGGGTTACCGGCTCTGGAGTTACCAGCCACCCTGGTTTACCGGCCCCGGGGTTACCAGCCACCCAGGGTTACCGGCCCTGGGGTTACCGGCCCCGGAGTTACCAGCCACCCGGAGTTACCGGCCCTGGGGTTACCAGCTCCGGGGTTACCAGCCACCTGGGGTCACCGGCCCCGGGGGAATTCTGCGCCCAGAAAATCAAAAATTCTGCGCACAATATTTTCAAATTCTGTATATTTTATTTTTCAAAATAACACACCATAATCACACCAGTTCGATTATTTTGGTCACTTATTTCAAAATACCTGTCACCAAGTGTGTCTGTAACAATGCAGACAACAAAAAAAGATTCAGAAAATGTTTTTTGACAAATAGATTCCTTACTAGGCATATTAGTAGAGAACTCTGAGTAATTCATTTAAACTACAATACAGAATGGTATTTCCTGCACTCCCAGAAGCAGTGCAAAGATGGGGGAGTCAGGGGTAACGGAGGAGCTGAGGGAGGGGGAAGCAGCCTTGGAGTGAACCTGGAGGGGTGTTGGGTGTTGGGTGTGGGTGGGAGAAGTATGGAACAGATTTGCGGGGGGTGGAGGGATTGTTAGGGAGCTGGGGAGCTTCCCCCATGCAGACCCGGGCTGCCCCTATCCCCAGGTGGCCCTGCAGCCCCACACAGCGCCTGGCTCAATGCTGTCACCCCACTAGCTTCTGTGACCCCCCAGAAACCCCGTGTGCACGACTCTCTGCCCCCCTCCCCATCCTGTGCCTCCTACCCTGGCTCTGTGGGCAGGGTGCTGTGATGAATGCGACTGCGGTCAGCTGTTCCTGTCCTGGCGCCACGGCAGCCTCTGTTGGGAGAAAGGCAGAACTGCAGCACGTCTCAAGCAGAACTGCATTTTCTGCGAGGAAAACAAATTCTGCACTGGCCATGAATTCTGCGCATGCGCAGGGGTGCAGAGTTCCCCCCGGAGTAAGGGGTGCTAAGCAGCTGCTGTTTGGCCTGGCCCCCTAGCCGGTGCCTGGGACCTTCCCGCTGAGATGTTGGTAGCCGAGAGCTTAGCCAGGAGGTCCTGGCTTTTAAAGGCCAGGCTCCCTAGGAGCTGGAGGGGGAAGCACGGGGGACCAGCTGGAGCCAGGCTTCCCCGCAGGCCAATGTGAAGGCTGCCCAATGTCTTGGTGCTAGTCCCTCCCAAGCCCCCTGCACTCCCAGGCCCTTCTCTAGGGCCTGGTGCATGGGGCTGGGGACACGGCCTGCTTTGGCACCGCCCTTCCCTGAGCGCTGTTGCCCTGGAAACGGGATCCTGGGTTCTCTAGAACTCCGTCCGCCTGTTCTAGAGCCCACAGGGGCCGGTTGCCATGGCGCAGCAGTGCACTCCGTGCCCCACGCCCCCCGCAAGGGCCCTGCCGTTGAGCCTCCCTTGCCACAGACAAGGCCCTCGAATCGGTCTTCGCTGACCCGCTGTTCCCCAGCCAGGACTCCCCAGCTCCTGCAGGTAGGGGGAGCTGACAATGGGCCAGGCGACTTGGCAAGTGCTGGGACCGGGGGGCTCTGTGCTGTGGGGGCCTGGGTATAGAGCTGGGGCTGTGACGGTCTCAGCTCGTACCGGCTCGGGCTGGGTTGCTGTCAGCAATGCTAGGGGTACTTGCTGCTGGAAGCGCTTTTCACTGAGGCCCTGACTGCTTGTGGTCCTTTGAGATCCCCCCCGATGTCCTGGCCAAAGCCCAGCGCGGTGATTCCATTCTGCCTCTCAGTTCCCCCCGTATTGTCAAGTAGATCAGGACTTATCCTGCCCCTCCTGCTGGGTGGTGTTACAGCCCCAGAGGTGGCTGCATATCAGTGGTCAGGGAAGTGGTGGCTGTGGACAGAGTCTATGGAGCCCTTTGGGATCCTCCCAGATGGCAACATGGGATATTAACTTGGGACTTGGCTTCTTGGGTCTATTCCCAGCTCTGCCACCGACTCACTGGGTGACTTTGGTTGAGGCACGTCCCAGCTCTGTGCCTTAGTTTCCCCATTGCTGACATGGGCCTGATGAATTCCAGGGTTGGCTGTATGTAGCACAGGGTGCGTTTCCCTGCTGACTGACGGCTCCTCGCCCTTCCCTCGGCAGCCCCTGTCGGTGTGGGCGGACGCCCACCTCCCAGGAGCAGCCATGCTGCGAGGCGCCTTCATGCTTTGGAACCTCACCTTCTTCGACGTGGAGAGGAGCCTGGCACGCAGGCTGCAGCAGAATACGCATTACCCCTTCCAGGTGCAGCAGCCCAATGGTGAGGAGCACGCCCCGGCACCAGGCCCAGGAACTTGGGCCCTGGAGGGCTTCAGGGTACATGGTCCCACGTCACCCGAAGCTCCTGGAGGTGTTTGAGATGCCCACAGGAGGATGTGTCTGATGCAGTATCATTGGGTGGGAGTGTGGTGAAGAGGGGCCCTGAAACCACCTTCTGCACTCCAGAACCTGCTCTGGTACCCACTAATGTTCTGCACACCCCGCTCCAGAACCTACAAACGTTCAACCTGCCCCACTCCAGAATCCACAAGCCTCCTGCCTTCCCTGCTCCAGAACCCACTCCAAAACTAGCAAATGTTGCCCTCCCAGCTCCACACCCAGACAGCCTCCCCTGCTCCAGAGCTTGCAAACACTCCTCTTTCCCCTCTCTGAAACAGCAATTGTCTGTCCTCCCCGTTCCAGAGCCCACTCTAGAACTCACCACCATGCTGGCTCCTGCACTCCAGAACCTGATCTGGAACCTGTTTCTGTCTGTTCTCCTCCAGAAACTACTGCGGACCCCACAGAGGTTCTGCCTTCCCCACTCCAGAACCCACAATTGTTCTGTCTTCCTACTCCAGAGCCAGCAAGAGTTCTGCATTATATACTGCAGAGTCCATTCTGGAACCGGCACTTGTCTGCCTTCCCTGCTCCAGAATGTGATCTGGAACCCACAAATGTGCTGCCTCTGCTCCCTTGCTCCGGAACCCGCTGGCATTCTGCCTGCCCCGTGGAACTCACTGCCTACGTGCGGGTGGCCCCTTACACTGACCGGCACACGCCAAAGGGAAGAGCCTGCTGCCACGTGCTCCTATTGTACGCTCGGCTCTGTGGCTCCGGGGACAGAGTGGGCCGGTCTTAGAACTGAAGGTCCCAGGTTTGAGTCTTGCTGCTGGCCTCTCTGGGGCAGCCCCAGGTTCCCCCCAGTGTGGGGATTGCCCTGGGCCTTGCTGGCTGGCACGGGGGAGGTGGGGTTTGGGTCCTGGCCCCGGCCCCATGCTGAGCTCTCTCTATCGCCCCCCAGTGTTCGTCATGGAGTATTACAAGGACACGCTGTGGAAGGGGGCCCTGATCTTCCTGCTCTGTGTCCTGGGCGGGGTCTTCTACTTGAAGAGTGAGAAGGTAGGAGAGCCCCTGGCTGGTCCCAGGCGGTGCCCCAGAGCCCCACGCCAGCCCCGTGTCCTCACCCCGGCTGGGCCCCAGGGGCTGGTACTGGGCCGGGCAAAGGGTGTCGTTTCCATTCCCCCCCGTCCCCCGGGTGGGTTCTAGGTAACTGGGGACCCCTCCCCCTGGGTCCTCCAGCTACTTCCCCAGCCGGGGAGCCAGGACCAGCAGGTACCTCTAGCTCGCTTGCCCCCCCCCCGGCTCTGGGTCTTGGCTCCCGGGTCCATCCCCGCAGGTCTCCCAGGATTACTCCGGCTTCTTCGTCTACGGGATCCTGGTCGGGTTCTGGCTGTTCCTCAGCTCCATGCACAAGCGGCACCTGGTCATCAACCACGCCCGGGGCTGCTACCAGATCTACATCAAGAGGCGGCTGTGGGAGGAGGGGCCCCTGCACCAGATCTACGTCCGGCTGATGGCCCAGACGGACGGTACGGCCCCTGCCCGGGGAGAGGGTGTCCGTCGTCCCGTCCCCCCCCCACACGGGACTCTCGCCCCTCACCGGCTGCCTCCGGCCTGTCCTGCAGCCTACGGGAAACGCTTCTACAGCCTCATCATCAACGGCCACGGGCTGGAGGTGCTGACCCTGGCCAGCCTGTCGGATCAGTACGAGGTGAGCAACCTGGCCTGGCCCTGCCCTCCCGGCATGGCAGGGGGCCGTGCCGGGCACCACGCTGGAGCCCACATGCTGTGCCTGGTGCATGTCACCACTGCAGCCATGAGCCCGCCGTGAACCTGAGAGATCAGAGAGAGCCCCACCATCCCAACCCGCAGCCCTGCTAGCCCAGCCCTGGGTCCCCCAGCTCTGCCAGTGCCCCTCACTCCCGACCCGCAGCCCTGCTAGCCCAGCCCTGGGTCCCCCACAGCTCTGCCGGTGCCCCTCACTCCCGACCTGCAGCCCCTTGCTATCCCAGCCTTGGGTCCCCCCAGCTCTGCCGGTGCCCCTCACTCCCGACCCGCAGCCCTTGCTAGCCCAGCCCCTTTGCTGTGAGTTTGCACAGGTTGTCGGCAGGCCGGGAGGCTGCTTTGGAGCAGGGGCTCTCTCAGGACTAGTGTGTCTGTGTGTGGGTGCTTGGGGGAGCTCATGTTCCCAGGCCCCATGGCAAGGCCAGTCAGTGAAAGGGCCATGGAGGCTGAGTGGCCCCTTCCAGGGTGGGGCAGGTGCTTGGTGGGGGCCCGCCCATCTCCATCCGGATCCCCTTGCCTGGCCTCCTGTCCCCGCCCCACAGGCACGCTCCCCCCCCCGCTGCCCCTGGGCACCTGCCCTGGCCTCATGCCCCCCGCCCTCCCTGTCGCCCCCAGCACATGGAGTTCCTGGGAAGGCGGATTGCGCGCAAGCTGAAACTCAACTACTTCGACTACCTGGATGTGTCCACGCGCCATGTGATCCGCCACCGGCCCCCGCTGGAGCGGGACGAGGAGCTGCAGGTGTGAGGGGGGGCAGCGCCCCAGTAAAGCTCCGCCTCCCGCTCTGCTCACAGCTGTTTGCACTGGGGGGCCCTGCTGGTCCCACCCGCTCTGGCCCCTGCAGCATATCCGCTGGGGCTGTGCCCCGTCCCTAGCCCTGGTGCCCACCCTGATCCCCCCCCCCCCACTCTGCTGCTGAGTCTCACCCCTCCCAGCCCCACAGCCCCTCCGCGACTGGCCCTTGAGTGGGGACGTGGGGGGCCACGGGAGGCAGCCTGGGCACCTCGGTCCCTCCTCGGGGGGCGGGCGGGCGCCTCCCACGTCAGTCCCTGGGCGACTGGCCCTGCGGCTGTGCCAACTGCCCAATCAAAGAGCCCCCCAGCCTGCCAGGGGCCGCCCCCCCCTCACGTCCAGGAGGGGAGCAGCTGCCAGACCCCCCAGGCATCTCAACCCCCCCCCAAGAGTTAGCCCTGGGGATTGCAGCGCCCCCAGGCTGCCCCAGTGCCTCGGGCTCCCCTGGCTGGGCCTGTTCAGAGCATCACCCCGCGGCCCGGTTCCTCCCCCAGGCTGGCCCTGGCTGGAGGCGCTGGCCAGGAGGGGCTGGGGCTGACTGGTTGCCCATGGAGGCTGGGGACGGGCGGTGGTCAGCGAGACCAGCTTGTCCAGGGAGGCCGGGAGTCCTGTGTCCAGGGGTGTCAGAGGGGCCCAGCTGATCGCGGCTGGCATCCATGGGCCGCGCTGCACGGGGTCAGAGTTGCCTGCTTGGGTGCCTGGTCCAAACCGTCAGGTTTCCCTCCTCGGCTGGTCTCCCCAGCCTGTGGGGAGGGTCCCTCGGCCAGGCAGACTCGGCACTCGGGTCCAGGGCTCGGTGGAGGCTAACAGGCTGGCGAGCTCCCTGGCAGGAGGATGACGGGGCAGCAGCATGGCGGAGACGGCTGCTCTCGGGGGGGGGGGATGCCCAGCCATGCGGGGTGGGGGCACCTGAGGCCGAGGTGAGTCTGGGCACAGCGACCTGGGCCTGGCCTGGCTGCATCTCTCTGCTCCGGCTGCTGGAAACTGGCTGGCAATGTACCGGCCTACGGCACTGCCCCGTGCGAGCCGCCCTGCACGGCCAGCCCCCCCAGACAGAGCAAGTCCAGGCCCCTGGCTAACGGGGGCCCAGTCCCTGCCTCTCTGGCCGTCCCTTCTCCTAGCTACGGGGCTGTTGGGCCGGGCTCCCCGCTAGCTGGGGCACGTCGCACTCCAAACAGTTCGGTGGCTCCGAGCCCTGGGCTGGGCGGGGGAGGGGGAAGTTTGCAAAGCCCCAGGACACCCCCCACACCCGCCCGGCCCGGTCCTGGCTGAAGTGGGCTCTGCAACTGGGTGAGGAGGATGAGTGGGTGTAAGAGGCGACCAGGGGGATTCCGTGACACTGGGCAGGTCCCGTCCCGGTCTGTGCCTCAGTTTCCCCATTGGACATGGGGCCGGGGAGCCTGAGAGCGCTGAGGTGTGTGAAGGGTGCCAGTGGTTGGGGGGCACCCAGCCCCGGAGAGAAGCGTGCGTCGCTGCAGGGCAGTCGGGGGGGTCGGGCACCAGCCCAGCGCCTGCTCGGAGGTGCCCCGTGCTGGCGAGGGAAGGGTGCTGGGGCTCGCGGGTTCACACAGCCACGTGCTACCCTGCCCAGCCCGTGTGACTGGCAGCCAGCACTGGGCACGGCCGAGCCCAGCTGGTCTCCTCCTGGCAAAGGGCTCTGCCCCACTCGGCAGGTGCCCCGAGGCCAGGTCCTCCTGGGCTCTTCCGTGCTGGGGTGAGACGCGCACCGGCCTGCCCCTGCCTTAGCACACCCGCGGCACGCTCGTGTGCCACAGACAGTGCGCTGCACACTCGGGTGCGCTGCTTGATGTGTCAGTGTGGCAACAGGGAGCTTGTCCGACCCCCCGCTGCCGCCCACCCCCCTCACCACCACCCAGCCCCCTGCTGCCGCCCACCCCCTGGCTGCTTCCCACCCCACTTACCACCACCCAGCCCCTCGCTGCCACCCCCCCTCGCCACCACCCAACCCCACGTCACCACCCACCCCCATTACCACCATCCAGCCCCTCAATGCCACCCCCCTCACCGCCCACCCCTTGGCTGCTACCCACCCCCTGCTGCCGCCCACCCCTCACCCGGCGCTCACAGACAGCTCTAGGGAAACCGAGGCAGAGGTCACGGCACAAGGTTCAGCGAGCCGAGCGATGGGCAGGAGACGGACGGGCAGCAAATGGCCACGTGTCAAATAAAACCATCGGACACGGTCTGGATCCTCGATCTCTTTAACGAGATACTTTCACCTCTAGAGCAACGCTCCCCGAGTCCTTCCAGTGCCGGACTGCTAGGCCTGGCTGTGCTCTTCCGCCCGTGGGACCAGGCAGCTCCCCCCGGTCCCCAGTGAAAGATCCCAGGCGCCTGTTTGCACCCCCAGATGTATCAGAACCATCCACTGGCCTTATTCACGACCCCCCAGCCCCGGTGTCTTTGCCTGGATCCGCCCTTCGTGTAGCTTTCACAATCTCTTAATCAGCAGCTGGCGCCGTCTGCAAACAGGCCTCCATGGGCCGCCCTGTACCCGGCATGTCACCCTCCGAGACATGACCCCTGGACTCTCCGCTGCTTGTCCCCATGGCCAGAGCAGAGCCTGGGACAGGGCCGGCTCCGTGAGCCCGCGGTGCAGCCACCCGGGGGTCAGGCGCTCCCCTAGGCCGGCCGGGAGTTCCAGTTTCTCAGCCAATGGTCCCGGCCGAGGGCAGCGAAGAACCGACCGCTCTGCCCCCCGCCTGTGAGGGAGCAGTGGGGCTGGGCGGCTGGAAGGGGTTTGGCTCTCTCGGGCCCGGTGCTCAGCACACCTGGGCAATCAGGTCCAGAGACCTCCTGGGGAGACCCAGTGGTTTAAACCCCCCCACCCCCAGCAGGTAAACCAGCCGTGGGCGTGTTAGGTCAGTTCGCTGCACAGCCCCTCCCAGCCACAGCCACCCCTTGGCCAGTCAGGGGGGGAAGGGACGTGTGCCTAGGCCGAAAATGGTCATGGCAACAGCGATGTGACCAGCCCCACCGCGCAGCCCTGCAGGGAGGGGCTCAGACAAGCCAGCTCCAGCCCAGGATAAACCCATCGCCGCACATGGGAGCCGCTAGCCAGACGACGGGCACTGAGCCCAGAGAGAGCTTCCCCCCTGGAGGCCCTACAGCGAGTGACAAACAACCCCAAACCCGTCCCCAGAGTGAGCCCCGCGAGTGAGTCCCCAGAGTGAGTCCCCAGAGTGAGTCCCGCGGTGGGAGCTGGCCGGGAAGCCTGGCGCCCTCCTGGGGCTGCGGGAGGGCTGGGGGGCTGGGTTAGGGTGCCAGGGAACGCTGCTTGCACCCAGACTTTGTCCAGGCTGGAAGTGTAACAACCAAGGGTGCCGTTAACGTCCGTGTCACTCGGCTGGGTTTGCTCCCCTCCCCCCCAAACCCTATTTCATCTGGGAATCTGCAGCTTGCCCATGAAATAACCCTTCCGTTTTCTCCCAAGGCGGGGTGCAAACGGGGGAGTGCGTGCCCCAAAGTGAGCTGGTATCTGGGGGGCTGGTTTCACGCCCATGCACCAGAGGGACAGTCCGAGCGGGCACTAAGAACTCGGAGGGGTGGATGTGGGGGACCTGGGACCCAAGGGGGTTGGTGCTCCCCTGCCAGGCTGGTGAGAGCCAGGGTGAGGCCTGGTGCTTGTGGGCAGGCGACTGGCGCCCTGCTCCCCCCAGCCCTAGGTCCCCTGCCTGGGACGATCTCTGCCTGGGGCCCACTAGGTCCAGCCCGCAGAGCCAGCCAGGCTCTCTCCTGCCGATCCGAGCAGCCCACGGAGGCGCTGGTCTCGCCCACTTCCGAAGGGAGGGAGTGTCAGTTTCCCCCCCTTCGTTAGTCTTACTGTGCTGCGGCCGATATGCGCCATCCATGCTGGGGGGCCTGGCTCCATCAATCACGTCTGCCAGGGCCCCTGGGTCCCATCCTGGCGCAGACAAAGCCTGTGAGATTGGCTCATTGGTATCCCTCAGCAGAGGCCTCCCTCCAGGATGTGCCTGGGGGGCCGGGGGCGGCTGCCAGCTCTGGGGTGGGCGCGTCCCAGGGGAGTTGCCAGGCCTGCGAGCGGCACCCTGCCCAGACACTGCTCCCAGGGGCTCTCTGATGCCAGACCCACTGCTGGCATCCCAGCCCCGCTCCCCCCTCCAGTGCCTGCCAAGCTGGTGCCAGCCATCGAGCCGGCCCTGCCGGCTGCCCCTCCGTGACATGGGGCCAGTGACCTGCCCCACTGGGGGGGGGCTATTTACCAGTCTGGGGTACTCACATGCCCCCCCACTGTAGTGTCTGGGCACCACCCCATCTGTCAGCCCTCTATCCTCACACCCCCGGGACGCAGGCTAGTGCCGCTATCTCCATTGCACAGATGGGAAACTGAGGCTCAGAGCATCTAAGTGACTTACTGTCACGGACTCACAGGTCTTGCCCACTCTTGGCCCCGTGCGGTCCATGGGGGGGTGCCCCTTTCAGTGCGACAGCCCTTCTCGGGGGTCCACTCTCTCTCGGGGTCAGGCCCCTCCACCTCCTGGAGCCGCACCTCTCGGAGCCTTAGCACGTCTGTCTATGCCATGGGCCCCCTCAGGGAGTCCACTCACTCTGGACCCCTGGGGCCTCCACCCCCGGAGGGGACAATGCTCTCCCCCCCCCCCCCGCCCTGGTCTCTAGCCCGGAGCGACTCTCAGCCAGCATAACACAGGAGGGTTTATTGAGCGTTGAACACAGCACAGGAAACTCTCCGGGCCTCAGGCCTGGCCTCCCTCAGCCCAGCACATCCCAGTCTCCCTGCATCCAGGTGGGCTCTGCCTGCTCCCCCTCTCCAGCCCTGAGCCCCCCTGCT